AGGAACAGATCAGTGGGTCATCACCAAATCAATAGGTGACCCAACATTACATATACCAAAGTTTCAACCCGATCAACCCAACTTAACCCGTACGTTTTGGGTTGGGTTAGATCGAGTTGAGATTTTTCAAACCACAAACATTAGACTGGGTTGTTCAAATGTATTCAATCCAACCATCGCAACTTGTGTGTATCCCTACTCTTTATTGTACATGGATTTAACATGATTGTTAAGTCCTTAATTAGTAAATGTACATTATGCATCGGATCAATTCGTCTATCATTATAATTTTTACTTTCTTAATGATATCACACTTTCAACAGTATTTTTACTTTCTTAATCGTATGAACCTTCAACTTTATTTTTTGAGTTTGTTAACCTTATTTGTAAGTTCTCATATTGATTTTACTTCCTTTACATACAACCGTTTAACTAAATTGTAAAATGTTGTACCAAAGTTTCAACCTGACCAACCCAACCCACATGGTTTGGGTTGGCTTGAGATTTTTCTAATCATAAACATTGAGTTAGGTTGTTCAAATGCTTCCAACTAGGTTAACCCAACCCATGTGCAACCTTATTTTACATACATGAGTTCAACCTAGGGTTGCTAGACTAATAAGGGCGTAAACTGTTGGAGAGGGAACAAACGTTGGTAGGAAACATTTTTAAGGCGAAGTATCAATCTTTTCTGGTTCAAATTTAACAATCTATTTAATATATGATAAACATTTTCCTCAAATTTATCAGTGTTAGAACACTGTTACAAGTTATTGAAAACAATTTTATTCATAATTGGAAGGGAAAAAAAATCGATGATTCAGCGTATAAGTATAAAAATTAAGAATTTTGTCTTTCAAAATTCAAAAAAATTACAATATCTGAGTATTTTAATTCAAGTACTAAACTAGGGTTTGAGTTTTTATAACTGCATTTAAAAAATTAAGTATAAAATTATCGACTCAACTAATTAATATTTTTTTAGGTTTAGGTAGTTAATTAATTAAGTTTTGGTGTTTGCGTAAATAATACATTTTATTTTTGGATTATTTCGTGTTTGCATCAAGGATTGGAGGGGGTTGGGCACCAGCCTGTCCTCCTACTCCCCTGCCTCTGAACGTTATCGATGAACTTTCGTTCCCGAATACAAATCAACCTTTTGGCATCTTGTTATACGGGGAAAAAGGTTGCAAGTCTCATGGTTACGAGACACAACCCGGTATCCTTGATGTAAGAATCGTTTCAGTTGTTTTCATAAAATGATTAACAAATCAGAATTAAATTTCTATTATGACCATTACAACTAGGGGTGAATAGCGGAACCGGGTACCCACTTGCAGAACCGGAACTGTCGGTTCCGGAACCAGAACCGATATGAGTGGTTCCGGTTCCAATTCCTAAAATATGGAACGATTGAGAATGGTTCTGGTTCTTAATTTTTCGGAACCGTTACCCGTTGGGACCGGTTCCGAGACCGGGTACCCGGTATTTTTCAATTAAAAATAATAATTACTTTTTTTTAATACTAGATTAAGTTAGGTCAAGAACTTAGAACTATAGATTCAAAATTTGAGATAAAATGATCCGTATTTTTTTAAATTGTGTGTTTAACTGGATTCGTAGTATGTAATCGTTAAACTTTGAACCTTTACAATTATAGTATGTAATCGTTAAATTTTCAACATCTACTATTAGTTTATTATGTTTTGTAATCGTTAAACAATATTTGTAACAATTATTCCGTATAATTTGTATTCTTGTTTATTTATTAGTGTTTTGACAATGTTTTATTTTTTATTTCTAAAAATCAAAATTTTAATATTTTAGAAAGTGGGTACCCGGAACCGGAACCGGAACCGGTTCCCGACGGTTCCGATTCCAATATCTCAAGAACCGCCGGTTCTAGTTCCGATTCCTGTCAAATAGGGCAGGTACCCGTCTATGCTCACCCCTAATTACAACGGTTACGTTCTATAACCCAAAGCCTTTTTGGTTTATTAGGAATTGATATGATATGCCTTTCTCACAAAACAAAAAGAATTAAATAGAAATCAATTAACGTAATATATGCTCTCTAAATAAAAGGCAAGAAAAAAATTCCAATTTCATTTTAAAAACAGCAAGTGATGTGGCTGCTGGGATTCGAGCCCAGGTCTCCACGGCCACAACGTGGAATTCTTACCACTAAACTACAGCCACTTTTGTGTTATAACTTTGAGATTTATATTTAAGACACGTGGCAGAAACTTAAAAGAGACACCTCTCCTTTTTATCAATTTAAAACTCAAAAACGACAATCAATCCCTCCTTCCTCCACATAAAATCATCATCAAATCCTTTATACTTTTATATTAAATGACCAACGTTTAAAAATAAAAAAAATAAACAATTGTCAAATTTATAAAATATAGTATATAATAACATATTGGATTGGGTTCCGGTAAGAAACGTAAAAAGAATCTCTATTCTTGGATGCGTTTGAGATTAAAGATGATCAAAGGTAGAGATCTTTTTTATTCTTTATCATCTTAACTCCCCTTCTTATACTGCTTTTGGCAATTGCATATATCAATTACATGATTTAAAGATCTTGATACTTTAATCCAACATAAAAGAATTTGCACAATCTTTTATGATGAGTATATCTTAAGTTTTGATCCAAAATACACCAACTTGTAAGTAAATCCAAAATTAATAACAAACTTATTCTAAGTGCCATTTACCTATACATTTATTCGATAAACGCTTACCAGTAAGAGTTAACAATCTCATACAGTACAAACGCTTATTGGTAATAGTTAACACTCTCATTCCTTATTGGGCAAGATCTAACTAGGTATAAGAATCACCCACTTACTGAATAAAATTTTCAACCTTTATTATTGCTCTTTTCGGGTAAGATTCTCGGTATTTGTAGTTTACTGGGTAAATTAACATTTAGTACACACGGTCCCTAACTTTGTAATTGTAAGTATTGTGTTTAATATAAAAACGATATTCTCATTTTTTTTACTATTCTATTTTCAGTAATAAAGGTTTGGTTTTAGATAAATTTTAGTAGATGCAAAACATATCAAAATCAATATCCCAAATTCCAAAATATGTTTAGTAAAAGTCAAAGTTCAAACCTCACCAAGATTATATATATATATATATATATATATATATTATAAATAAGTGTTATTTACCGTATATAATTATTATATATATATATATATTCAAATTATTATATAATGTTCGATATTTAGTCTCGTTTATAACAAAATAACATTTTTTACGAGTAAGAGATTGTATTTCATTTACTCCTAAGCAACCATACAAAATAAAATTAAACTTAATTTAAGAAAAAACCATTTCAAAACAAAACTATGTTTAAAGGCATCAAAGTAATTATGAAGTAACCAATATTTGATTAATGATTGATAATCATGTCACCGTTTTCATGTCAATTTTATTGAACACGTCTTATGATGATAATGTGATTGTAGTAGATGATGAAAATATGTTTTCAACCACCTCCAAAAAGCATATTTGATGCTACGAAGAAAATGATCGCTAACACTAACCATATTCCATCAAAAAGTAATGTATTTAGTTTAAGTTCATAGTTTGGGTAACCTTCTTCTAAAAGCTCTATTTAAAAAAAAAAACATAATATTTTTGATGCAATTAAGGAACGTATTTTAATTTGGTGCACCAAAAAGAGAGGGTATTATATATTTGTACAGGAAAAAATTAAATGTCATTGTTTGGTATGTTTTGTTATTAATATCAAATTTTGAGTATAGATTCATCATAATATAAATCCGAATAGAGTATTTTTTTATTTTGATGTAGTTTACGATTAAATAAGTGTTTTAGTTTTATTTTTTAAATATACGATAAATATTAAATATTGATATACATCTTTCGTATTTGGTATTGTTTAAATGCTTGAACTTTTTTTTTGGAAGGATGGAGTGTACCAACAATTTAAACACTACAAAAAGAATAACCGTATTTGGTAAGTGTATTATTATGTGTGGTATATAATTGTGGCAAAAGAAAGGGAAGGTGACAACCATGAAATCTAGATCTCAAAAGGGTTGATTTATGTCTTTTGATTGAAGAGCATGCAACTTTTGGGGTCATTTTCATTAGTATTTAGTGTGTATGGTTGGATTGATGCTTGCACTCTACTTTTCTTTAGCTTTCTTTGAATCCACTTCTACAAATCTTGTATTTTATTGTATTTAGTGGTTTATATACTGGTTTTTAAATGTTTTTCATATATATATATATATATATATATGTGAGTTATTATACAACCTTTTACATTTGTACAACAAATACAAATCAATCTCAATTGTTCACTTAATTTGATAAATACATGATTTAATAAAAGTTTTGATTGTTTTCTAATATAAAGTATTGATCGTAATTAATGAACTTTATTCATCTTTTATAAATATTCAAATCATAATAAATGAACTCTAATCATTTTCATAAATATCTCAATTGATTGGATTGTATTGGTTATACAAATATAATGAATTGCATTTGAAACGTTCTCTCTCTATATATAAAGAGAGAGAGAGAGAGAGAGAGAGAGAAGGAGGATCAAT